AGTCAAGGCTTGAGTTAGAGTACGAGACAATGTGTCGCTTTCACAAGCTTCAGCCATTTTGTGTTCCTGCCCCTTTCTTCTATGACAAAGAAATGAGTGCTGGTAACTATTGTATCTATATAATGCATTACAGCGTTTTTTGACGCATCCAGTTACTGCATGTTCTTATGCTATGCATTAAGTTTGAGTTGATCCCAATCAAACTAGCATTAAATTAATATAAATTATTTCCTTTGCTAGTTCTAATGCAAGATCTTTCCGGATATCAAGTAATGCGCTCTGATCTAAACAAAGGCGTGGTCAATACTCAAACTATTGAGAATGTCATGACTGCCATAGGAGCTGCTCACTGCTTGACTCTTAAGGAATCTCTTGGAGATAACGAACACAAGACATTTTGTGAAACTTTCAAGTAAAGAGATATAGATCAAACACCAATTGCCGGTTATTTCTTATAGAAACACAGCAATGGTCTCGATCACTGAGCTTTATGTATTTGTCAAGCCGTATCGTCACGAAGACGACACGAATAAACACCATCCACTCCTCAATGAAGAGGCTCAGAGGTTGAGGTCTAACAAGGAGGCGTGTCAGAGGGCGGAGTCAATGAAGAAGCTGTTTTTAGAGGCTCGTCAGTGTTTGTGCCACGGGGATCTCCACACTGGGTCTGTTATGACTCTTGGCAATGATGCTAAGGTATGATAGTACATTGTATCAGCTCATAGTATAAATATGGTACTATGAAAATGTCATTGTAAAGCCCAACACCCACTATAGCAACTTTTTTGAAAGCAACTTTATGGTTGCTTTAGCATGTGTCAACTTTGCTGCCTGGAATAGAACACTGTTCTATTTCAGGCAACAAAATTGTTGTTTCTTTCAACAAAGTTGCCTGGTGGATCTTGGGCTTAAAGGCCCCTATACTCCAGGCAATGCTATTGCAGGCAATCTGTGGTTACTTTGATCTTCAGGCAACACTTTAATGCCTAGAATAGAAGCCTGTTCTATTCTAGGCAACACATTGCTTGCAACATCAAAGTAACCACAGATTGCCTGCAATAGAATTGCCTTGTGTATAGTGGCCTTAAGTTTTTTTGGTTAAATTAACATTTTGTTTTAGCCCTATGCAGTATGCACATTGATTCTGTACATAAATTGTATTTCTTGGAAAAGCAAACCTGAATTTCTAGCTAAATTTAACCATTGCTCCTTTTTTAGATGTTTGATCTTGAGTTTGCATTCATAGGCCCTGCAACGTTTGACTTTGGAACGTTCCTGGCTAACATCATATTCTCAATCTTGCGCCATCACTGCCTCAAAAATAGTAAAGCAGCATCTCTGCTACAAACTGAAGGTCTCCATTCAGCAATTACTGGCTACACTCAATCAGCAGGGGGCACTATTGTTACTGATGATGCTTTCATTCGTGATACTTGTGGTTTTATTGGCTGTGAGCTAATAAGGAGGTATATATATTTGACTGTGTAATAGGATATATTTTCCTTTCTTATTCTTAGAGTCGTTGGTGCAGCTCATGTTTCAGATCTTGATGACCTGCCGGAAGGAGAATTGCTCTCGCTTCAATTGGGACAAGATTTCCTTCAGCTTCAACCAGAACCTAACCAAGACCTGATGACAATCGTCACTGAACTGTG